GGCACATGGACCTTTCACGACGCAGCGAACTCATTGCCGCGCCCGGAGACTCATTAATATAAAAGCAAGATCGGGACATCACGGAAGGGGATTCATTCTATCACGCACAAAATCTCTCGAAACCTACTCTCATTCTTCTCTTTACGGTCTTTCACTTTTCTTCAATAATTCTCGACGTAGAACACGGATTTAACGTCGGATTTTGCTATTGCTTACGGATTTAATCTTGTTTATCGAATGCGACATTTAGATTTTATCAATCGTAAGATTTCCTTTAACTTTATCGTTAACTATGAATTCTTGGGTTGTGATGAATGCTTTAGTTGTTTCTTCGATTATGAGTAGCTAAATTCACATGACTAGGGGATCGATGCTTTGAATTTGTTTGTGATTATCGGGCTCAAGATTGTTCAATTTATGCGATTCATGCTTAATTAGGGTTTTCGATTTATGCTTGAATGTTGAGAATTATTGAAGGAGTGACAGTTCAATTTACAATTGCTCGTTGATTGAATTTGATTCGTTCTTGCGTGATTTTGATAACCTGATATCGACTAGTTGATTATCCATCTTCTAGGATTATTTAATCGACTCTTAGAACCGAAAGGGGAGGAGTCGGTCGAAATAGATTCGCATGAACTAGGCTTGTTTGTAACTGTATTGCCTAGGAGTTAATTGACTCGTTAATTTGTCGTTCTAGTTTATTCTCTTGTTACGAATAGTTATTGGGAATGAATGCTTGATCTGGTAGATTATTTGAATTTCTTAGCTGAACAATCGCTTGCCTGTTAGTTGCATATCGAACCAAAGCGGGAATCCCCGACTCCCTAGCTTCTTAATCCTTATTTGTTCTACGTGATCGTTGCTATTTACTTGCTTTATTTTATTTATTTGCAGTAGTTGATAATAAAAACCATCCAAACTTTGAATTAGAATGTTTAGGATTTTTATTTCTTTTATTTTCTCTTTCATTCGTGTGTGAATAAACGTACAAAATAATCCGGCCGACCTTCCTTGTGATACGACCCGGTGTTGAATCTTTCGATTCTACTCCGGTAAAAATACTTACAACAGTATCCCTGATTTTTGATATGTTTCCTCCAATTAGCTATTGAATTGTAAATGTACTCAATTAAAAGTTGATAACTTTTGTATCTCTTATCGGTTTTACATATATTATATCAAATTAATCATCTTTTGATGATCTTCGATTTGACATCCATATTGTATATATAAAATAAATAAATTATATTTATCATTATAATAATATTTATTAAAATTCAAAATTGATATATTTATGTTTAATGTAGTTATTTGTTGTAAATTACAAAACTTATTACAGTATAACACATGTAAGTTACACAAATAAAAAATGTCATACTAACTATATAATAATATATATATATATATATATATTTATAAAAAGGTATTTAGATTTTCTACTTTTTGTTTATTAATTTTATATTGAAAAAAAATAGCATACGCTCGTGTAATACACGGACGTTGTACTAGTTAATATATAGAGACGAGTAATATATTAAGACCAACTTTATCCGTGACCCTCTCATTGGGTCACAGGATTAAAACAAAAAAAAAAGGAAAAGGTCACCATATGCGCGACTCAGGTCCCATTGTGAGATCGGGTCGCGATCGATTTTTGTGCAGAAATGGGACACTTGTCCAATTTTTATTGCACAAGTGTATTTTTTTGTTTATAAAAAATAAAAAGAAAATATTAAAATTTGTATTTTTTTTTCATTATCTACAAATAGAGACCACACTTGATATATTTTAGAACAAAATTACAATTTTTAAATAAATTAAAATAAAATAAATATTTAGGTTGAGTTGGGTGGGATAAAGATAAATTGGGTTGGAAGATTGAGTTGTGTAGGTTAATGAGAGAGAAATAATTTTTAATTGTTAGGTTCAGTTGGGTTGGGGATCAGGATAGTCTAATGGTTCAACTCTGGTCAACCGTTTCAGCACTGGTTAAAGGGGCGGTGACATTCTTATAATTATGAGTGCTTTTGATTGTTTATGCAGTAGCATTTTCGTTATTTTTTATAATCAATTGTTACGCTAATGTGTATTTTTACAGGCATTATTGTGCATTATTTCTAACACTATTGTGCATTCTACGACACATTGATATTTTTGTAAATTCGTGAACAATTTATATTGACAATTGTATAATTTCATAAAAATATAATGGTACTTTTAATGTGCATATCCACACGTAATAATATGCGGTCCACTCACCATTGTTGTGCATTTAATTAACTTTTAATAAATCGAAGATTTATCCAAGAACTAAATTGCAATCTGTTAAAATTTCTAAATTGCATATACATCCTTGCGATTGGCATAAATTTCACAAGCCCTTAGGTCTGGCTTCATTCATCGACGGCTCCACTGGCAGTCGTCTCACCTATTTGGACCTCTGGCGTGTTGTAAACCTCGTCTCCGACACCCTCACCGCCAACTTCGACGTGTGCCAAGGCCACGCCGTCCTCTTCACCACAACTCGATGTACTTCTTGGTCGCCTGCCCCGTCGTCATGTCACTGGGCGTTGTCGTCACCACCATCAACCCCCTCAACACCACCACTAAGATTGCCAAGCAGATTGGCAACTCGAAGTCGATCCTCGCCTTCGCGCTTCACGAACTCCTCCTCAACATCATTGGTTGAAACCTCTCAATCGTTATCCTCTACCCCGATTCTCGCTCTATGAGAAATTAATTTAAATTAAGTATCAGCATAAAATACATATAAACAAAATTATTTTAAAATTTATGTCTTAACTTAAATAAAAACTACAATTCTTATAATGATATTAAGAATGTAAAAATGTAAGTAAAATTAAAAATAATTCCATAAAATAATAATTATATTTCATAAATTTTAATATATTACATCCATCCGCATTATACTTTAAATTATAGAATATTTTAATGTTGAATATTTATATGTAAATATATAATAGATGAGGGAAGACAATTGTGTATATAATAATTATTTAAATTAATTAAAAATAAAATTATAGAGTTTTAGATAATACACACACATGTGTGTGTAATATTTAAAATATCATTTTAACATATTCATTTTAAAATATAGGTATTATTTGAAATAATTAACTTTCTTAGTTTTTCAATTATTAGTTTTATACTTAATGTTTTATCATTATATGATAATAATACAAATTCTTTACTTTTGATACAAATATTTTGCTTTTATTTTAATGTGCCATGTTGGTTGTTCACGGCCGTTATATTAACTGCAAAATAATTTAATTATACTGTTTAATCTCAAAAAAATGAATATATCTTAAATAAAATAAATAATATTTCATACAATATGTTTTCTAGAATTTAAATTAATATCACAAATTCTTTTACTTTATTATTAAAAATTTTATAATTTTTATTTCAGTTATTTTTCATTATTTGTTGCACAATTATTTTTTTCTCCTCAAACACGCGTGTAGTTCACGAGCATTGTTCTAGTTGTATATATGTTGAAAAAATATAGTTACCTGCCTCTCACTACATGCAAGAAATTGTGAACTTAGAAAACCCAAGATGATAAGGTTGTTAGATCAAGAAAAATTAACCAATCCTATTGCACAAATTCTTGTATGAAACGGTTTAACCGAGACGGGTTGACTCATCATACTTTATGGAAAAGAATGCATAGGTATACTGCCAAATTCCATATTCTATTTGTCAAGTTTTTAAAGTATGATATTATTTAGTAAAAGTATACATATCTGTAAAAAAGAGTATGTCGGTCTAATGGTTAGCAAGATTAACACAAGACTTAGCGATTCCAGTCTAGAGAGAGCTTGTTAGCCATGGAAGGAGATTTTAAGCTTCATTAAACTAACAAACCTTAACAATCAACAAAAATGGAACAACATTTATAATGTGGTGAGCAAACAATGGAAACATATTCGTCCATAAAATCTAACAAAATGGTTATAAACGTTTCGAGTAACCGGAGCCTCCACACTTCTTGCAGAGTATCAATCCTGCCAACATGTTTTCATATATAATCAGATATATTTTATTCGGAATAACCGCACGAAGTACGTTCACAGGAGGTTTCGTATATTTGCAAAGATAGATAAAACGGAATGAAAAAAAAAAAAACAAAACAAAACAAAAAACAAACAATGAAGGTATATGTTAAAGTTGTGAACACCCCTCAATATGTGTTAGCTTTGTTAAAAAAAAGGGGCAAAAGTTATGAGCCACACTTCGGTTCCTAATGCATATAGGGCTGTGAAAAAGGGTCGAAAATATAACTACGAAATTAATTTCTTGAAATTTCTTTATTCTATGAAAACTAATGCGATCGAACAACCAGAAATTATGAAAAGATGCATACGTACATTTGTAGGAGCAGTTCGCAATTTTAAAAGGAAAAACAGAAATTTTGGCAAGTGTGCTAAACCTCAGGGTAGGTTCTTGTATGAGCTCTTTTTCATTCCGACTGACTTCTCATTTGTAAAAAGCGGCAATCGAGCAAATGGAGAAAAAAAAAGAGCTCAAATCATCTTGAACATTTCTTATAGGTGCAAAGTTAGTCATTCGTCATCAAACCTGAAATTTATTGTCTTTACAACTAAAGAAAGCTAAAATTATTCGTATTGTGAGTGACAAAAAATATACCTGCACCTTTGCACACCTTACAATCTACAAGACCCGCCTCAACTTTCATCTTACCATCGCTGCAGAATACACACTTAGTGCCACCTGGCCGTCAATTTAACAAATTAGGAGAAAAAAAACAAAAAAGAAAAAGCAAGCGGATGAGATATTTACAGCAATTGACGAACCAATTTAGCTCAAATGACTACAGAAAACAATCTATTGTTAAAAGTAACAGCATAGAAGAATAAAATACCCGACAATCATAAAATGATTTCTAGATATTCAGTTTGAGATTCGTCAGACAACTTATAATCCTTCATTTCTTATTCTTAATTGAAACCATGTATGAAAGATATTACAAAATACAAATTATCTCGATGATTGCATAGACAACATTTTATGGCATGCCCATATCTTCCAATATTGTTCCTCTTATTAAGTGTGTTCATCGTTGTATGTCGAACATTACCACTATATCAGGCATCTAAAACAAATGCAAAAAAAAAAAAAAAAAAAAAAAAAAAAAAAAATGAACGAGAAGCATAAATTACCATTTCCAGCACACCTGGCACATGGTACAGGATCTCCCTGCAAATGTGAATAACACAAACACCTTAGTTAGAGGTAATACAAAGAGTTGAAATGAAGACAATTGCATATGAGAGTTGCTACAGATCCCACACTTATCATTCCATTTCGTCAGAGATAAACAAAAGAGTTCATCTTTCGAAAGTACAATTAACCACATCCACATTTGAGTCTATTCAATATGGAAATGCTACAGTCCCGTTACGCTACCATCTCGTCGGGTGTTTTAACCGTTGCATCCATGTGTAGTTAGATAAGATAGATATAATCCAATGGTTAAAACACCCGAAAGGATGGTACCGTAATGGGACCGTATCATTTCCCCTATTTAACAAACTAGGCATATATCTTTTTAGTTAGGTAAAACTGAAAGGTGACATTCATGATTTTATATCCTCATACAACCATGAATATATCATGTTCCTCAAAATCCATTCATCAAGCTGAGGAGAATTTTATGCTAATGCTACATGTCATTAATGCACCCACAAAACTAATTCTTGGATAAAGTTTGATAAACCTTCTTAAACCCATGTGGTTTTTAACAAACTTACAGCCAAATCAAGCAGAGCCCAAATCATGAACAGACAGAAAAATAGCACCCACAAATTGCAAATGCCACCGTAAACTTCACATCAAAATCACTAATGCACAGTTCACCAATTCACGTTTCACAATAGAAACAAAATTAATCACTGGGTCGAAATTATACCTTGAGGCCAAGAACAAGAGAGAGCCCAATAGCAACCAGAACACTGACAGTGACCAAGAAAGTCTGGGTGTCCACGGCGGGCGGCTCGAGCCCAGAAAATAGCAAAATGGGCTGCTTCGAGATGATGGGCAGGTGGGCTTGCGCCGGAATTTTGGACGAGAGAGTAGAAGAATTGGCCGAGGACGATGAGGATGGCAAGAATGCAATTTCAGAATTCTCGGGGGTGTGTTTTGGGAGGCTGTAGAATAAGAGAGATGAAAAGTGAGAAGGGGGCGATGAGAGAGAGAGGTGCGGCGGTGGCGGCTGTGGTGGTGGCGCGGCCATCGGGTGTGGCCGTGTTGGCGGATATGGGGAGTCTGGTGTGTGGTGTGGATATGGCTGCGTGCGACTCGCGGTTAATTTTTATATTTATTTATATTTATACGATTTTTTTTTTTTTTCATTGTATTGATTTTTATGTTTATTTATATTTATGTCATTTTTATAAATTAGAGAATTGAAGAAATATTGATTAATATAAAAAGGTAGTTTTAAGTATTAATATTAAATTTTACTTTTTTATTTTAGTCATTATAAAATAGTAGCCATATTAAAGTTTCTATTTTAAGTTTTTTATTTAGAATATAGGAACGTGAATATTTAATATATTCAACTTTTATCTATGAAAAATATTTAATATATTCAACTTTTATCTATGAATGACTTACAAAAATAGTCCTCTCCATACTTTTATTCATATCTTATTACTATATATTATATCAATTTAATTTGTGATAAAGCTGAAATTTAATTAGTGAAAAATAATAAAAATCGACACATAATTTAAAAACGCATAATATATATTATTTAATTTTTTAAAATTTATTTTTTTTCATTATGACAAAAATATTTTAGCTTTTTTTTATAATTTATAATAATATATATTATATTTAATTTTTAAAATTTAATAATACAAATGATAGCGAGACCACGATTGATTTATCGTTGTAATTTATAAAAATACACGTTATAAATAGTTTGGGTTATTAAACAAGCAATTTACATTAATGTTTCATATGTGAGTTGTGACTTGTTGGTTTATCCTTATAATTTATAAAAATATGCATTATACAATTTCTGTTTTTTCATTCTAAGTTAATATTTTACATGGACAGTTTGATATATGATATGTTGTTTGTCTCTAAACTATATTTTTCATGGTAGTTCAATAGGTGGCTCATTAGTTATCATATAGCAATAAATATTATAACTAGAATGATCCTTTATAACCTAACGATTTACATGACATTTCGACAAATGACCTGTTGGTTTGTCGTTTTTATATAGTGTAAATTTAAATATCAAAATAATTATTTATTTATATTTTTATATTTCTTAGCATTAATATATTAAACTCGTGAAGAACACAACAACAAACGTTTTAGATTATTTTATATTAAATACATGTTATTATGTAATAATTATGTAATAATAACTTGTGCCAAATATTCAAATGGAACAATTATTATATCCGTTTATAAATAAATGTCATTGTTAAAAGTTATTATTTCAGTGTCATCTTTCAAATCTCTAATATTTATATTGACAAATACGTACCCGTGCAATGCACGAGCTGTATTTATTTTGGTAAAATTTATAATTGAAGGATATTAATCAATATGTTATAATACATAAAACATTTGTTAGGTAATCGTAAAATGATTATCATGAAAAAATCATATATTATTAAAAAGCTCTTTGTTTCTCCATTAAAAAATTTTTCACTTGGTAATAGTAAATCGATATTTACCAAGATTGATCTTCACTTGGTAATTGTGAATTGCATAGACACCTCATTCCTTCATTTTCTTTGTTGATTTTGGAATGTTACCACCATGAAATAAAGCTATAGTGAAAATATATAATATTGTGATATATATTAAAGATATGATTATTTGGTGAATTTTAATTTTATATCGAGTATAAGATAAATTTTTACCTTAAAGTTAAAGTGTGGATTTTGAGTATATCTTTTTTTTTTTGTTTTTTTTTGTGTCAATCATTCTCATTTTTTATGCCAAATTCATTTTAAAAATTGAGAACGATTTTGTTTTGTTATGTTTTAACAGATATTTGAAATTTTGGTTGACATATTTATAAAAATAATTACGTTTAAAAAAAACAACGATATTTTATCATTTGTAGATCAAAAATAACTAAACGGTGGACATGTAAATCACGGTTTTTAAATGAAAAATATGTTTCATAAAAAAAGTGATAAGAAAATGATTCAAAATGATAAAAAGAAAATCGTATATTATAGCAAAAAAATGTTTACATGAGTAGTGGATTAGTGAATTGAAAATTGTGGCAATTTTAAAAAACATGTTACCATGATTGAAATGAAATCTTTATAATATTTTTTACTTTTAGTTAAGTTGCATATATTGCATAACTATATATGAAAAAAATAAAATATTTAAAGTTCAAATAGGCAATTTATTTATATGTATATAATAAAGTGTACAGTCCAAATAATTAAATTTCATTTAGCATTTATATTGTTAATATTGATACCGTGATTATTGTAAAGTCCAACTCTCATTTTTACGGTAAATTTATATTATATTAAAATGAATTGATAAGTCTAAAAAGAGATATGGATTGAATTAAAAAGATTGGATCGTGGTTAAATATCTTGATATCATAATTATACTGTTTTTAAGAAGATATTACATAACATTTGGTTCCATAATAATACTGCTTTTAAATATAATTGATTTCAAATAGCCGGATTTAGTGTTTAATCAAATATTATGGAATATCTTTTTTTAAATATCTAATTATTAATTTATTTTTTGTTTTTTATTTATATTTTATTTTTATTTGTGCCAATTGACAATATTATGTTTGATCACATTGTGCACGCAAATAATCTTTTAGATATAAAGTTGTGAACTTAACAAATATCTTATGTGGTTCACAATCCATATAAACAATTGACATTTGTCAAAATTTATGTGATAACAACATTTATGCATTGTAAATGCTCTTATTTTGTTTTAAATAAATTCAAATATACTTCTATCCATTCCAAATAAAATTCATACTACTTAAATTCGAACATTTCGTACCAAAAATAAATCACCCACTTTATACCACAAAATTGGACATTTATTATTAACAACACATTTTCTAGGAAAAAAAAAAATGGCTATTAGATACTTAAAATAAAATCATCAACTTTATACCAAAATTGGATTTATTAATATTTTCAACTTTATACCATAAAATAATTAAGTATTTTCTAAAAGTTATTTTTACTTTTTGTCCAAAATATTTTTTAGCGGCACATAATGGTTATTTATATTTTTGTATTTAGTTATCTTGTCTATGAAGAAAAAATAATCTTGCAACTCTACTATGCCAACAAAAAGATGTATGAAAAAATAACATAAGTATTAATTTATTATGTTTTACTCAATACAAGAAATATAATATAGAAAAGATGTGTGAAAATATAACATAAATATTAATTTATTATGTTTACTCAATACAAGAAATATAATTTAGATATAAAGATTAACGATTAATTTTCTATAATTTCTCAATCAAGTCTATATATTTAAACTAAGGATTTCAAAAGTTTCTATAATACCCCCATATTTGTTCCCATAAAATTAAATCATCCTAAATTTAAATTCAACTAATAAAAGTAATAACCATAAATATCTGACTAAAAAGATTATGTACATTAATTACATTAATTTTGTTAATTTACTATTTTTAGACAATAATTAATTAAATTGGCGGAAAAGTGTTTATAAAGGTGAATTATGTTAATCCTTAATATATATTAATAGGTGTATTATTTTCCTAATAATCATTGTTTCTCTTTCCACGGTTTTACTAATTTGTTTATTTCTTACACTTTAATTTTTTTCCCTTTTCAATATTTATATACTTAATCCGATATAGTATATATAAAAATTTGTTAATAATAAAAAAGTTTGTTAACTTTTAATTATATTTGTAATTTAAGTTAATAAATTTGTTATAATTTTAAAAGAAATATTAAAAAAAAATATATCCTATAAATCACATCAACAATTAGGAAATAATATTAAAATCTAATTAATGTTTTTAAAAAGGACTAAAAATATAAGTGTTATGAATATTTAATGTCTAATTACTTTTGGATTGAAAATAAATTAAAAATCATCCAAATCAAATGAAAATGTTGAGAATTTGCACACATAGGATTTCGAAGCGTGCAAGTCTGTCAGTTAGGCTCGGCACACTTGGGAATTATATATAGGGCGAAAGAGATAATATTATATATTTGTAACAAATCACAAGTTTGGAAAATGAAATTAGGAAGATGAGATATAAATGACACACATACAATTGAATAACTGGCATTTGAAGATTTTGCATGCTTTAATTGGATTTGATCAACCTCTAGTAGGATTGTCATTAATGTAACCAAAGCAAGCCAACTCATACTTATATGGTGGCAATTATATAAACATCAAGCACAATGTTGAAGATATATCAAGTTTATTTTTGCCAAAATTCCATTATCTTCTTTAAATTAAAAACATGCCATTTGTGCTCTTGATATTTTTCAAAATAAAAAAGAAAATAAAAAAAATCAAGGAAACGATTATGACGTGTCATTTATTGAGACGAGATTGTTGAGTATAAAGTTGACTTTCTTTTTTGGCATTTTATTCTCGAAATCATATTTCAGGCACCAACCGTACATTCATACAATAGAAACCACCGAATTCATATTCAAGCACAAAAAAACAACTCACAACCAACTAATAAATTTCAAAAAAGTCCCAAAAATAACTTCTTTCATAAATGTGGAGGGTTATAAAACACAAGGAGCCACACCATTCTTGACAATACACCTCATACTCCATTTTTTTCCTCTTCTATTGAAAGGTATGCCTCTATTCATATCCTTTAACTCTTATCTATATAATTTCTCTCTAAATTCTATTGTCACACACCACACACATAAAAATGTCATTCAATTTGCCATGAAAAAAAAAAAAAACACATTTGTTTTCCTTAGTCCCCTTCACAAATTCAAGAATTCCATCAAAATTATAGACTCCAAAGGGGAAAAATGGAAAAACCTATCTCCCCCCACAAAGAAAAGTCACTACTTTTTCACCATTGCCAAAATTTCAAATAATCTTTCCCTCACTTCCCCTTTCCTCTTGCCCACCATTTTCTCTGGGCCTCAATCAATCGATCTTCAACTTCAGTTCTTCCGGAAAGGGAATCGAAAAACCCTAACTGTTGCACCCGTCAATTCAATTTCTTGATACCGTCTCTGTATTCTCTCTCTCTCTCTCTATCGCGCGCACACACGCGCGCGCGCGCACACGAGCACGC